CCCAGCGACAAGAAATCCGACGGTATACGTTTACCACTCTTGTTTCCTTCTCTTGCTTGAATTGCAAAAAGAGCTTATATTTGGCTGATCCCTCGTTAGGCCCTCGAAAGCTGCTTTCAAAAGAAGAAAAGTTTATGCTCAATAGCCGGAATCCTGACCTAGCCGTTGCCACATCAGTAAGTCCCCTTACGATGCTCTTCGTCAAAGTGAATGTTTTCAGTCTCTGATGAAAATGTATTTATGTGTGTGTACCTCTGGTGAATCAGAAAAAATGGCTTCCTCTTCACACACTGGCAGCATGTGGAGAGTTTTATCTGGTTGATTCCTTGCTAAAGCACAATCTTGATATCAATGCAACCGATGTGGTATGTCTGACTTTTTTGAAGCTGTTGCTTTTGTGCACAGTGTTTATGTTTGTTGGCGTCTCTTTCTAGTGTTGTTTCCATTCTTGTCGTTTCTAGGGCGGCTTGACAGCACTTCACCGAGCAATCATTGGTAAGAAGCAGGCTATTACTAACTACCTTCTGAGGGAATCGGCAAATCCATTTGTTCTTGATGACGTAAGTGGTCAACTAATGATATTTATATCTTGTTATGATCTCCCTTGCGCTTCAGATGCTGGATCTGATCCGTTTGGTTTATGATAGGAAGGTGCGACCTTGATGCACTATGCTGTGCAAACAGCATCAGCTCCCACAATAAAACTTCTCCTACTGTATAACGCTGATATAAACGCTCAGGACAGGGTAGGATGATGTCAAGCATTCATTGTAAGACAACATCATTGTTGATCAGGTGGTTGACAATTTGGCACTGGGTTTTCAGGACGGGTGGACTCCACTGCACGTTGCAGTACAGGCCAGAAGAAGCGACATTGTAAAGCTTCTTTTGATAAAAGGGGCGGACATAGAAGTGAAGAACAAGGCAAGTTCCCGCGTATATTCCCATATCTGGTTTTGAAAGCATTAACTGATGATACCGTTTTTGACTATACCAGGATGGGTTAACTCCGCTTGGGCTTTGCCTCTACCTTGGAAGAGAGACAAGGACGTATGAGGTGATGAAGCTGTTGAAAGAGTTTCCACTTAGCAGACACAAGAAGAGATTGGTAACAACAGATGAAGATATTGAATAGTCCTTTCAATTGCAGCTTGAAGTACATTCCCTTACGAGAACCTGAGAAAAGGAGATGGAGGTAAAGGTGATGATTAGGACATTAGAACCTCGGAGTCGGAGTGGGTCCACTGCCTCAATTCCTTAAATTTGGTTTGCTGTTAATCTTATCCATCGATTTTGGATATTTATCACTTATCCATTCTTAAAGAAAATATCTGAAAATAAAATAAAAAGTAATATATATATATATATATACATAACAGTCTGTGAATGGATTGGTTTGATGTACCTTGTGTTTTGATTCAGTCCAAAATTATATATGGAGTAGTGTCAGCGCATATGTGAATTCTAGGTACACAAAAAAAAAAAGGAGTTCATGATATTAAACTTGAGATGAGGTGAATAGCATCTAAAATGTCGGTAGAAGATGTCAAACCTTTGGAGATATTACGACAGGACCATCACTTTTGCACATTTGGTCGGTGTTCCTTGTGTTCGCGTTTTTGTTTGAATTTCATGCTTTTTGTTTGTTTCGGCACCAACTTAGTGTTAACTACCTATAAGCAAAGCCAAAAATAAAAACTTTCTTATGTTTTAGTACTTGGAAGATGAATTATGTAACATGATTCGAAGGCATCTCACTGATCACAAACCACCAAAATCCATATCTGCTTATGTACTGGTGTGATGTACCGACGTATTATTATTGTTGCTACCAATTAGTGTCAAAATAATTAGGCACATGAGCACCACCTTTATATTCCATCACTATGCTTTCCAATGAATAATGTTGGTTATCTGCAGGGGATTGCCAAATCCATTTAACTGTCCACGTCATCATTTAAAGAAATAATAATACTAATCAAATAGACCCACGTGTTTAGTTTAGTTATAGAATTTAGAGCAAAACGAGTTTTGATTTAAAAAGCACAACCTTATCCTCCACATCTTACATTAACATAATAATAACATTATTTATTAGGGATAAAAAATCTCCCGGTAAAGAAAGAAAGAAAAGAGCCATTGACGTCTCCTCTCTCGCTCTCCATCATTCTTCTTCTACTTTTATGCTCTGCTTCACTTTTTCTTCTTTCCTTTTTTCTCTCTCTCAACGACCACCACCATGCCCGGAGTTGCCTTCTCCTGTGTTCCTGCCTCCGATCTGGGAATCTTCATCTCCGAATCCACCACCTTCTCACGCTACATCTCCGCCTCCCTCTCATCTTCCTCCAGTTCACCCTCTTCCTTTCGCTGTTGCACCCCATTGAACCTCAAATCGCTGCGTTCTCATCGCCGTCCTAAGATTTCTCATATTTGTTGCGACGGAAGCTCTATTTCCGGATCTGGCCTCGGCGATCCCGATCTCGAGTTTCTCCAAGCCTCTGTCCTCGTTGCAGGTCCACCTTTTCCCATTTCCAAATAAATGTGACTATTCTCTTATTTATTCAAATTTCCGGTGACGTTTACTCGTACCCTGTGACGTCTGTTGCTTTTGCCCAACTCTGATTGCGATTTCCCTCCTTTTTTAGGGTTACCTTTATGGAGTTTGTTTGTGATTCCATTTTATTATTGTTGCCACAAACCTAGATAGATCCCTTTTAATCACCTCAACTTAATTCAATTTGTGCTGATTAAAAGGGATTGTAGCATTAGCCCATTCAATTTTATTTCATTGCTCAACTTGTGCTCCTTTTTTCTTAACAACAATAACAGAGACAAGTATGCATTACAAAATGCGGCGACATGGTTTCCGGCAAGATTCAATGTGGCAAACTTCTAGGCCTTTGCCTCCCTTTTCTATTAGAGCTAGTGAATCCAGGGTTGGTGTTCTCCCTATTGGACTTGGCTTTCTCCGTCAATTCAAGCAGCCCACTATTTTTCTCAAGATCTCCTGTGATGGTGACTACTTGCTTCCTGTTATTGTTGGTAATGCACCTCAATTCTTTCTACACTTTGCTCTTTCTTATGTATCTTAGCGTTGCTAACTTTCATCGCTTACACTTGCAGGGGATGCTGCTGTTGAGAAACTTTTAGACGTACCACTACAAGGCCACACTGAGGTATCCCCTCTTCATGTTTTACACTTTTTTGACGATTGCTGTTTCTATTCCACCCCTTAACCTTCTTTTCTTTCTATCTTGTAGGAATGCCCTGATCAGTTCCAGTTCGTGTCTGCTGTTGTCGACAAACTTGGATATGAAGTAAACTATCCGTTTCCAACACACATGTTGCCTCTTCTACCTCGAATTAGAACATTTATAGCTGGTTGCCACTTAGTTAATAAGCTGTACTGTATTATTGACAGGTTAAAATGGTGAAACTTACAGGTAGAATTGTAAACACTTATTATGCAAGTCTATGTCTTGGCAAGGTAACTTAAAGACTGCAAACATGCTCTTAGCTAGGAAACTTTTTGTCAAAAGTCATTATGTCTAAGGTTAACCATGTGTCATGCAGCCTGGGGACATTGAGGCTATATGCATTGATTCACGGCCATCAGATGCCATCAATGTTGCAAGAGCATGCCAGGTATGCTACCTGGGGGTTACACGCTTTCCTCAATTTATTGCTTTCGAAATGTGGTTAAACTCACTATCTTTATGGTTCTCTGTTTCTCAAACTGAGGAATCCTAACCTGTTCCTTTTGAATACTGCGATAACATGTTTTTGTTTGTCATATCTCAGGCTCCAATATATGTGAACAAAGCAATAGTGCTGGAAGAGGCTATCAAAATTGGTTATGGAGGCAGACCGCAGAGCGCAAAGCCTGTTTTCAATGTTATCCTTGACAGGTTTTTAGTTTGTTAATGAATCTCCTGGGTTAGTTACACTGTCTCACTCTGTCACAGTTGCTAACCACATGGTGGGTGTTCTTGTTCAGCGCTCCCGATGGACCAGATCCTTTATCGGAAGAGCTTAAATTAGTGAGGAATATGGATTTGGCGTCTAAAGAGGAAAGGTACATCGATGCAGGTATACAAACTGTTCTGGATGGCATCTATATCCAGTGTGCTTTGCAGACTCCTCATTTTTTTCTTGTATCACATTTTGCAGCGATGTGGAGGGACAGACTGAAGAACCTTCAGAACTCGAGGTGAGAAGACAATTGTTGGTGATAATTGAGATGCATTAATGAAGTGACATTGATAATTAACTTGTTTTGGTTGCAGCTCTGTTGTATATAATAAGGGTGTAGAAACTCCTGAGAGCTATGAGTAGTGAAAGAATAGGAGCTAAGAAAGGAAATGGATGTAGATATAATGTGGTGGATTTCAAGGGTATGGAGAGAGAAATATAAGAAGCTCATAGATTGATGGTACCGCATGTACCTGAGAGGAAGCTCTTAGATTGATGGGATCGCAGGATGTATTCAAAGTAAATGAAAGATGTATGAATAACCTGAGGGAATGTGTAAATGTAAATGGAAGAAGACTAAATGAAATGCATTTCTTTAAGTGTGTATAGTATTTTTATTGAATTGGCGATAAGAAGATTATTTAGGAGAAAGAAACTGAGGGCAGAAGCAGACAAAACGAAAGAGGGACGGTTACATACAGTGGGAAAGAAGAGATGTGGATTGTTGTGCCTTCATAAATGTCTACTTGTGGAAGACTAAGCAGTAAGTTAAAAGAAACGTGAATGATTTCCCCTGAAACGATGGTTACACAACACTCCCTTATTCACTTGGTTTTCGGGTTAAAGTTAGAAAAATAAAAGAGGTGGCCCAGCTTTGGTGCATTGAGAGTAGCAGAGTTATTAAATGCTTCGCAGAATTGCAGTTGCACATTCACTCCCTTCTTCTTCTTAATCTCCTTACAGTTACAGACATTCTCTCACTTGCGTTCTTGTTTCTTTTACAAAACAGATACACTATGTTTCCGAGAGAGTCCCTCTGATATTGGCCTGGTTCACTCAGATTCTCTTTTACTAACTCATCTGATTGAGCCGTGTCAATATCTCAGTCCTCTCTCGTCGCTTCTCTCGTATTTTGAAGTTTGCCTTGTTAGGTCACACCACTTGTTTTGTACACACGATCGAGTTGTTGATATGGTGTTGTTGTCTTTGTGTACTCATCGATCACTCAATATATACACATATATTGTCTGTTGCCAAGAACAGATGGACCTTTAAGGTAACAATCTTGTAGATATAATCGTTGATCGGATGCTCCTTTCTCCTTTCTAATTGATTTTTTTTTTTAAACTATATATATAGAGATTTCGATGCAATCAACACACACTCGTATTTTTATATATTTTAAAAAGATGCGATGAACCCCTCCCTCCAAGCTATCACATCAGACAGCAAAGAGAAAGGAGGGTCATTTATTGATGATTACATGCGGAAAGGATGCATTATTGAAGAAGAAGGAGACGAAGAGATAAGGAAAGATGTTTGGTGAATGGTGAGTCATCAAGCTTTTGTAGGAAGGCCATTCTTGGCCCAGGCACTATAGCCACCGACGATATCTTTGACTCCCGTGAAACCCTGCAAATTCGCAAATTATATATCACCAACAAAGTAAAAGTCAGAAAGAAGAGCTTTGTGGTGGAGCTTACTGCATGGAGAAGATCGGTGGTGGCTTTGATAGATCTACCACCGCTCTGGCAGCCAACAATGATGTTATCGGATTGTCCGAAATGGGAGGAGACTTGTTCCAGGAAGTCGGGGTTCTTTGACATCCCTGTTTCACAATCACAAAATTATATCCATCACTCAGTTATCAACTAACCAAATAAAAACATACCTGATGCTCCTCGATTCATGTAAGGCACGTTGATCGCCCCACAGGCATGTCCCTGGCTGAACTCTTCTGGAGTCCTATATTCATCATCCCCATTACATCAAGATCCTAATGATGCTATGTTGATGATTGAAATAGTCAAAAGAGAAAGGTGGGGCGTTACCTGACGTCTAGATAGCGGTGGCCGGCTAGAAGAAGGTCGTGGGCGACTGTTACCGACACCGATGATGGGACTCTGCTCTCGTCCGCCATTTTTTTCAATGGCTTATTATTATATTTGACTGGACAAAGACTTCAATAATTTCATTTTATATAAATTAGTTGGGAAAGTGATTATAATTGGGCCATATATTACAAATACATAATGGGCCTAAGTTGCTGCTTTATGGGCTAAGCTGTTTTCGGACTGTCCTTCATATTTTCATATTACCATTCCAAAACGGCATCATTTTAGCTAACCTCGTCTTGGGTTTACTTGATGAATTTTCAAAAGGTTTAAGGTTTTACATGCAATACTAGAATAGTTGAGGCTTCTGAATGCAATTATTCATTAGTAAAACACCCTTTACACAATTCTTACCATTCTTCGTCAGTCGATCAGATCAACGTTTTACCGTCTCACTGATCGACGGGAAAGAGACGACGACGTTTTTAACCTTTGGGTTGAGATCCGATCCAATATTTCGAAATCGTGATTCCTTGTTTGTGACCTCTCTCTCTCTGCCTCCACACTCTTCTCTAATCCCTCACCTCAAGGTAAGCTTCTTCTCTGGCACTGATTACATTCAAATCTCTCTTCTCCTTGCGTTGCTTTTGCTGGTTTATTCGAATTTCACGACTTGACTCCTTTCTCTTTTGATTGTTGATTCAAATCCCGATTTTGCGCTTACTAGTTGTTTCTACTCTCGTCGCTCTCTTGAGTGTCTGGGTTCATCTTTCTGACATCTGCTCTGCCAAGATGTCCGAAGACAAGGAATCTGATGTGGTTGGAGAAGAAGAGGAGAGCCATGTGATCAAAGAAGATAAAGAGTTAAATGATGCCTCCAACGAGACTCTGACAGAAAATGGTGATCAGCTACTCCAAATGATTGCTGAACTGAGATTAGAAAATGACTTTCTCAGATCCCAATTTGAGGGACTCAAGGATGAGGTAGCGCAAGGTAGGTCTCTCCAGAAAGCTGAGCAAGTGGAAGCGGACTCTGCTCAGCTGAAACAACTTCAAGAACAGGTCGCATCATTGAGCAGAGAAATTGATGTGGAAAAACAAACTCGAGTTGCAGCTGAGCAAGCTCTTGAGCATCTAAGGGAAGCATACTCTGAGGCTGATGCTAAATCCCAAGAATACTCCTCTAAGTTTTCCCAAGGTCAGAAGCCATCTTTTCTATTTGCTCATTCATTGACCGGAACCAGTGTTTGCCTTTTCTCAACTTGTGCTATTACATTGTTGGTGTAGTTGAACAGAAACTGGACCAGGAAATCAAAGAGCGCGACGAGAAATATGCCGACCTGGACGCCAAATTCACCAGGCTTCACAAAAGGGCTAAACAACGCATTCAAGAAATCCAAAAGGTGAATGTCTTTCTCTACATTTTATAATGCTTTCTGTTTTAGCCACTTTGAGGCTACTGTGAGTTTCAAAAACCATCTTATACTATTTCGGAATTTCTATGCTGCATTTTCAGACATATAGATTTCGCTGCTATGTGCTGTCTTAATCTCAGTGGTATATTATATTGCTATCTTCAGGAAAAAGATGATCTCGACGCCCGTTTCCGGGAAGTGAATGAAACAGCTGAACGAGCATCTTCTCAACACTCATCCATGCAACAAGAGCTGGAACGCACTAGGCAACAGGCGAATGAAGCACTTAAAGCAATGGATGCGGAGAGGCAACAACTAAGGAGTGCCAATAACAAGTAAATAATTCGAAGATAATTTTTACAGAAATTGTATAAAATGAATGTCGCCTTTCCCACTTCTCCAGCTACCTCTCAGAATTTGAGTACTGGAGTTTTCTCTTTACACAGGCTCAGGGATACTATCGAGGAACTACGTGGCTCATTGCAGCCTAAAGAAAATAAGATTGAGACATTGCAACAGTCACTTCTTGATAAGGACCAGGTTTGATCTCTTTCATTTTCTGTAATACTAGTCTGCAATAAATAGAAAAATAGAGAGACAAAAGAGACAGAGAGAGAGAGAGAGAGGGGGGGGGGGGGGGGGGGGAGGGATGGCTGTGTATACTCTGCTTCATATGCGTACTTGCTTTAATCCTAGATTCTGGAGGACCTGAAAAAGCAATTACAAGCTGTGGAAGAGAGAAAGCAAATTGCAGTTACTGAGTTGTCAGCCAAGCATCAAAAGGTAGTCAGCATCAGCGATTGTGTTACTTCTTATATGCTTGAGCCACCATTTTCCGCTAATGACATCCAAGGTTTTCTCTTCTCTCCACCTTCTTGACAGAACTTAGAGGGTTTGGAAGCACAGGTCGTAGATGCTCTATCTGAGAGGGACAAAGCAGCCGAAACCATTTCGTCGCTGCAGGTTAGTCTTTTGACTAAATTCTTTAGTTCTATTACTGGATGATGTGCTTTGGTTTTCAAATGAGCGAGAGAGAATAGTTTGAAATAAGTGATAAATTCTTCACACCAAGTATACACCTCTTTTAGGTACTGCTTGCAGAGAAGGAATCTAAAATTGCAGAGATGGAGGCAGCTGCAACTGGCGAAGCAGCAAGGCTAAGGGCTGCTGCAGAAACTCTTAAAGGAGAGCTTGCACACCTTAAATCAGAGAATGTAAGTGGAATGTTTAAAGATGGATTCGCAGGACTCTCTGATGCCAACTGTCATTTGTCCTTCGTTATTGTTGCCCATTCGTATATTCTAAGACATTGTTTTGCATACTACTCGTCAAATGATTTCCATCATTTAGCAGATTTACTAGCATGGTTTTAACCAGGGAATGAATATAGGAGTGCGTATAGATAATTGTAAACATGATCTAAGGCGTCAGTCTGTCATCAGACAGCATGTTTAGAGTTTCTATTTGTTTGGCCATATAAATTCCTCTATTTTCTTTTGTTGTAATTCATAGAAGCCATGATTTTTTTTTGTTCCTTTAGGAAAAGGAAAAGGAGACTTGGGAAGCTTCATGCGATGCCCTTAAATCTAAACTGGAAATCGCTGAAAGCAACTACTTACAGGCCGAAATCGAAGTGGCTAAAATGAGAAGTAATTGACGGAGTTCATAAACGTTGAACTAATCTAGTTATGTTTTACTTTTGTCTATGGACTATAGACATTTCATTCATATAAATTGTCAGGTCAGCTGGGATCTGAAATGTCCATGCAGACCCAGATACTAAGCACAAAAGATGCGGAACTCAAAGGTGCAAGAGAAGAGGTACATAGTTTTCTTTTGGTTCTTTTGGAAACTATTGTAGCCTTGGTTAGGTGAACGAATTTATTAGTCATCCATTCTTAATCACATAACGTGAATTATTATGGAATCAAAGAGCCATTTTGAGCTTTAAGGAATGTTCTGCTTTAGCTTGTCTTCATTTAACCATATTGAATTCCTTGTAACTGTTCACAGATCAACCGTCTCCAAAGTGAATTCTCTTCTTACAAGATCCGTGCTCACGCGCTTTTGCAAAAGAAGGACATGGAGCTGGCTGCAGCTAAAGACTCTGAACAAATTAAATCTCTTGAGGAAGCTCTAAAGGTAAGTTATCTAGAATCTTAAGATGGAGATATTTTTAGATGGTTGCCAAGGTGCTTACCAACTAATTATCTTTTTGGGTGGTGTTAGGAAGCTGAAAAAGAAGTATATTTGGTATCTGCAGAGAGGGATAAGGCACAGCAAGATCTTCAGAGTGCTTTGGCTAGCCTTGAGAAAGAACTTGAAGAGAGGTATATATTGACACTGAATCTTTTTCATGTTTGATTCCGGAGGTTGGCTGCTCATTCTCCTCAATTTGCCAGAGAAAACAACTGAGAAATGGTGTTCTCAGGGGACTGGTTATGGAGTTCTTCAGACATATATTGGTCGTCTGAGCTATTTTTGTTTCATATATATTTCAGAGCTGGAGCACTTAAAGATGCCAGCGAGCAGATCAAAAGTCTTGAAGTGAAGCTTGACTCCACTGTTGCTCGCAATCAGGCGGAGAAACAAGCTTGGGAAGAAGACCTTCGGGTTTTAGAAGAAACATGGCGACGTAATTGATT